TCAGCAGGCATGTTGTACTGCATTTATATCTTTCAGTGACTTTTCGTATACTCTGTATAAGAGCTTTTTGAGTAGTTGTCTTCCGCTACATAGGAAAATTTTTTCCTCGCTCCTTATCAATTATGGTTATGTTTCTTCCAGTACTTTGCAAATTCTATATCTCGGCTTCTCCTTCCAGTGGATGGGGCACATGCTGGTTCATGTGAAGAAATGTCAACTGCTATGTCCAAAGCAGAGACTGCTGCTTATAAAGGGCTTCAGCAGTGCATTGAGACTGTGATGGCCGAGGTTAGATGTTTTTTGCTGTCATCTACCAACAGATCCAATGAGATGAATGCTAAGTGGCATTGTGTCTCTAATACATGCGCTTCTGTACATTTCACATACTTGGATGTGGATTGTCTCTCAGGTAGAAAGATTACTTTCATCTGAGCAAAAGTCTACTGACTATCGATCACCAGATGATGGAATCGCTCCTGACCACCGCCCAACAAATGCGTGTACAAGGTTTGTGTAACTCTGAATCCAATCCACCTTGTCCTAAGGGTTCTAGAGGCTGGAAAAAGTATGGTTTCTTTATTCTTTTCGTAGTGTGCATCTGATATGTGTATTCAGCCTCATCACAATGTTATCCCCAGTTTTTAGTTCTCCTTTTGGTTATCTTGTTAGTTGGATCTCTAATATCCCTATCTTTCCTCTTTTCTAGAGTTGTGGCTTATCTTTCCCGTGTACTTGAGTCTGCCTTCACTGCTTTGGAAGGTCTTAACAAGCAAGCTTTCCTGACTGAACTGGTACCTTCGGAGATCACTCTCATCACTTTACTGAATTCTTTCCATCAATATTGTTCTCAATTTTCCATATGTTTGTGTTACTTTATTCTTGTCACAACCTTATTATTTTGACAAACTTTAGCTGTAAAGTCGCTGTCACTCCATATTTGCCAAGTCACCTTTATTGAACATGCCACATTCTTGTCGGATTCTACAACCTTTTGCTAATGCATGATAATCTGATGAACATGGTAGTCTGAGTCATCTTACTGAAAAATCATAGATTGACCCTCGTGGTTTGAATCAGAGAGAAAAGTTCGATGTCATATGACTCAGATGTTAAATTTGCCCAAGAATCAATTTGAAATGATTTTTGTTCATTGTTTTCAGGGAAATAGGTTACACAAACAATTGCTTAGCCATTGGCAGAAGTTCACTTTTAATCCAAGGTTTGAACCAAAGCAAATATGTTTAAGCTGTGATATCTGATTCCCTCTCCACTTTTGTTTTTGGGGGGATGATGGGTTCTTCTAACACTCTGGGGTTGACAGTGGTGGGTTGCGGCTGAAACGTGATATAACAGAGTACGGAGACTTTGTCCGCAGTTTCAACGCTCCGTCTGTCGATGAGAAATTTGAGCTTCTCGGAATGTATGTATTTTCCAGCTCTTCTCAAAGCACCTGTAAATTGCGTTTTTGCCACTTGCTAATGGTGTGCTTTGTTTCTCTGTGTCCTCCCCAGCATGGCCAATGTATTTATAGTTGCCCCGGAGAGTCTCTCCACCTTGTTTGAGGGAACTCCAAGTATTCGGAAGGACGCCCAAAGGTATTGTTATTGTTATTATTTAACACTGTATATAAAAAAAACATGAGAGACAGAGAGATGACTATGTAATATATATATGTATATATATGAACAGGTTTATTCAGCTGCGGGAGGATTATAAGAGTGCGAAGCTGGCCACCAGACTCAGCTCCTTGTGGCCAAGCTTGAGCTGATACCATCAAGAAGAAGGAGAGGTAATATAATATGCATATCTTCAAAAGCAAATATCTTTTTATGCAAAACCCATGCGGTTTCACATCGTCCTCTTTTGTTTGTATATTTTGCTTTGGTTTCGTCCTTTTATTGTTCCGTGATAGGCAGTTCTTCCGTCGTCCTTCTTGTAACCCTAGTCCTTCAAATTTGTGGTGGTCATTAGTTTCGTGTGTAGTTCCAGTCCAATTCATGAACGATTTATGCATGTATAAAAAAAAGGATATTTATGGTAGTGGTACCCTTTCGTGTATATATTTTTATTTGGATTGCATTTACTTTATGATTTTTATTGGAATTTGTAGATAAAGCTTATTGTTGTTGATTAGTTAATTTGTTGTTTCATATTATGGAAATCAACCCCATATATGCATGTGTATATGTATATATGTGTGTATGTAAACATGTGTATATATATGTATGTATGTAAATAACTAAATATATATATATATATATATTAGTGTGCATACATGTATGCGTATGTAAATAAATATATATTAATGTATATATGTATGTGTATATTTATCTACGTGTATGTGTGTATATATATATAACGATTTGTATATATTTTTAATTACTATTTATTTTTATTTATTATTTTTATTTTTATTTATTTTTTAATTAATTTTTAAACATTTTATTCTTAATGACGTGTCATTTTAGTCTGATGTGCATATTTGGCAATTCCGATAATGACATGTCAGTTCACCGTCATTTCCTTTACGGAATACGGTATACTGATTACTAATTTGAAAATACGGTAATTTATGGATCAAATACAAATAGTTTAGGTTTTATTTGATAAATAAAAAATATACGATTTTTTTTATGAACTAAAAAAATATAAGATATTTTTGGTGACTTACATTTTTTTTGGTGGTTCTCTAAAAAGACGTAAAAAAGTATAATGAACAAAGGATAAAACAAAATCTAAATTAGATAGAAAATAAATACGTAGATAAAAGAAAATACAATAATTAAAAGGCAAGAAAATGACATTAAAAAGAAATTGAAGAAAAAATGAAATAGATGACAAAAAAAATTGTATTTATTTGCTTAAAAATGTTTTACAGATACCACAATGTGACATAATGAAATTGAAAACCCAATCACTTGACAATTACTTCAAATTTTTAGATCTGAATTAAAAAATACTGTAAAACAGACCAATAGCTTCTCATTTTCAGAATTTAATTTTTGACTTGGATATGATTTATATATTTAGTTGTATTCTATAAATATGTTAAATAGTGTTCTATAATATATAATGTAAAAATAAAATCAAGATTTAAAATTTGTAATAAATTTCTGCAATAAATTCAAGAAAATTGTGTGTGGAAAAATCTAGTATGTAGTGCAATGAAAAAAAAAAGAGCAAATGAGGAAAATATGAAGAAATATAAAGATTAATTCGGTGAAGAAAAACAAAATAAACGGTTTTATAATAATAGTTAAAATTTTCAATAATACTTGGGCTATTTAGGAACCATGAGCAAAGTTCCCAACATAGAGTTTGGGCTCAACAAATCCAATTCCTTTATGAGGGCTTTAATCAGGGCTTTAGTATTTGGGTTCATATTGAACAGTGTTGGGCTTCACACCTGGCGCATCTTTTGTGTCTCGAGCTTTATATTCAATATTTTGGGTCCCTTACTATTCGGCCTTTTGGGTTAATTAAATCAGGCTAATCTGTTCTTTTCAGGCATATACTGCACGCGCTGCTCTCTCGCGTGAATATCACGTACAAAATGCAAGCGTTTAGCCTGCAATTTCATCAAATTGACGCCGCTGATAAGGGGTGCGCGTACGTGGGAACAATTGCTCATGGTGTTCGGCATTTTCAAGCGAGCAGGTCACCTTTACTTTATATATATATATATAAAGGTTAGCATTCTAACTTTGTTCAAACGAAATAAATAAATTAATTATCGCGGCGGCGTATAGAACTTTCCATTCATAATTAGGTTTTATTTGTGTAAAGAAAAACATTTATTCTAGAAGAAAATAGTTAATTTTATCTTCAGCTCACAGTGAACGATCGTCTTACGGGACTTTTTTTCTCAAATTTAAAAATGTACTTATGTTTCCTTTTATCTATCTTGCTGGCTAATGTCTAAAAGAATAAACTATATAACTACATATAGTTGAGATTCATTTCACCAACTGCCTACCTTGTAACAATAAAAATAATAAGAATGATAATGATTTTGATAATCATCTTGTAAAATCTTAACTTCAATCAAATTGCTATAATAAGATAATAATCGTTCTCTAAAACCATTTGCGGGGAAAACTGGACGCAACTAGTAGAGAAACATCTTTAATATTTATGTTTATTGTGCATCCAAATGAAAAAAAAAAGCACGAATCCCTCAAATTGCAGAAGAAGAGAAACTCATGTTAAAAGTAAAAAACTTATCAGTAGTTTCTTGATTGGGGAACTGATCAGTGTCTCATCCGCTTAAAAAAAAAAAAAAAAAAAAGGAATAGAGAAGGAACGACACTGATTGTGCGGTCGCCTCTCTTCGACTCTTAAAAGCGGCCAACTTTTTCACCATTTCTCTCTGAGGACTCTTTGCGCATCCACAAACAAACTGGGCTTTGTCTTGTCAAACGCTGTTACTTCACAACAGTCAAATCTTTCTTCAACCTGTAACGTCAGCTTCTTCGTTGTCACTGTAATCTCCCCCATGACTTTCCTCTCTCTCTCCTGCTTCTTCGCCATTTTCCTCCACTGACTTTTCCTTTTCCGCGATCTTCTCTCCTCCCACCACCGAAGAATGCCCATTTTCAGATGTCTCTAAGGTGTCTTGAATGACAAGTCGTTCAATCTCTGATTCTTCTGTAGGTTTCTGCCCTTGATCCTCTCCAGATTCAGTCGTTTTCTTCTCTTCCGACTGAGGTTGATTTGGAATAAGTTCGTTCTGTGTCTGCACTGTGGGGATATTACATGGTGATGCTGGATACCCACCTGCCATTTGAGGGGCAGAATACCCGTTCATCGAACCATTGAGAGAAGGCGAGTATCCGTTCGTAGAAATCCAGGGCTGGCCCGGTACAAACTCAGCCGCATGTGGGTTCATCACTCTTGGTGCACTGATATCGCTGTTGGACTCAGTGTTGCCATGAAAGCCGGGTTTATTACGCAGAACTCGATTCCCAGAACGGTTGTAGCCACCACCAGAGAGCCTGGGACCGTAGGGAACCCTAGCTGTTGCAGATTGATGAGGAGTTGTTCTTCGAACATGGTTAACTGGAAGCATTGGTGGCATATTCAATGGGGAGGGAAGAATTCCCCCGTGGTCTTTGAATCCTGGAACTGGAACTGACCCAAAAATCGGAATGGTTGACGGGTTGTATGGTGGTGCAGAAGCAGATAGCCTTTTACCAATCTCTTTTCCGGACTCAGAAACATTTTTCTTTTCTCCCCCAGCAGGACTTGTTTCTTCATTGCACAGATTGTCTGTTTCTCCATCTACAGCTTTCAATTGAGCACCAGAGACATCGTTTTGCAGCTCCACTGCAACTGATGCTCCCCTGCTACCTAAGTCTTTCGCTTCCTGCATCTTCTCTGGTGGAATGGTATTCACATCCTCAGCAGCACCAGAATTCTCAGCCGCTAATTCTACACTATTAGATTCTCCTTGTCTAGTGGCAGCAGGTGTTGTTTCTGTTGGAACAGCTTCTCTTTCTGCATTTTCTTGATCAGCGATCTTGATTTCCTCTGATGAATTCCTCAACTCTGATCCACCAGTAAGGCTTCTCTGCTCATCAGTAACAGAAATTTTCGCTTCTGTTTCTTTTTTCTCAGCTTTCTCAACCTTAACTTCTTCCGAGCCATCTTCTCCTCCTACTCTCCCTGTGCCCAAAAAGTTCGGAGCAGCTGCTGCCTCCGGTGACTGTTCAGCAACTGCCTTCACTATGGTTCCTGGCTGTGCCAATGCAACCTCCTTATAGGAAAACAACTTCCCTACAGCCTTGACACTCACAGGACTCGCCATTGGAGCTGGTTTGCCAATTTGGTTGGTGGAAGCAGGGCTTGGCAGGGGCGAGCTAACATTGACTGGTCTTTCTCCTCCTACATTTGAACTGTTAAGCTTTCTGTTCAAACTAGCGCTCTTGCCAAAATTCTTAGAGGCTGGAGAAGTGGACCCACCAACAGAAGTTGAAGGCTCACTTGGACTAGTCCTTGGGGATGTGAAATTGGTGGGTTTTTCTCTGTTTCTTAGTGTTTGCTGAGTCACGTTCATGAAGTTTGTGTTCAGCTTTGCTAGACTCGGTCTTCTGGTGCCCGAGGTTCTACGCCCAGCAGGATAGCGACCTTTTGGGACAGCTTCTTGCCAGCCTTCATCAGAGTTATCATCATCTTGGGCTACAGCCTCAGGTTTAATCAGTATCAGCTGATCTTGAGGTTCTAGATCAAGTTTATCAGCCTTTGTTTCTTCTGATTTTGCTTCAGATTTGTTCTCTTTGTCACTTGAACTCTCCCCAGCAAGATGCGCCGGAGGCAGAGTCTCATCATCTTTCTGATTTTCTTCTGACACCACCCCTGGACTCTGCCCTGGTCTTGCCTTGACCTGAATGAACAATGAGATGGTTGACATGCCTCGCCACTGAGAGTTTAATGAAAACATGAATGATGTGAGGGGAAAAAACAAATTATAACCTTCGCGCGAGCTTTCCTCTGGGCATCTCTTGCTTTAACATCAGAATCTGGAGTTATATAATCCAACAGGTCTGATACACTAGTACAGGCACGAAAATCATTGGTTATATTTCAGCGTGAGATAAGAATATGAGTTTGCACAAGTAGAGAGATTTTGTTTAACAAGAGGAGATAAACCATTTGTTCAACACGAGAACAAATGTTTCACTTTACATTAGGACAACGCATCAAAATAGATCCAATATATTCAATCCTCTTTTACAACCCATGATAAAATTCTAGGCTTAACCGATGCCATTCAGCGGATGCTTGAAAGTTGAGTAAATGGCATACAAAACGCTTCGTGATTTCTTTTTCTGCAGATGGTTATCAGTATTTCTATCTTTTGACCCCAACTGGTACGCACGTTTTGAAAATAAATTGCATCAAACGAAATATAAGCACGTATAGTAAGGAAAAAAGAAAGAAGAGAAACATTTCCATTACCTTAAATGGCCTTTGCTGGAGATTGAGGCGTCTGGCTTTGGAGTACCATTACGTGCAGCTTCTTGCTGTTCGAGAGCTTTGGACTCAAAATACTCGAGCCACGCAGCAGCATCCTACAATAGTTCCAGAGTATAAGAAGCATCGAAACTTAAACCTGCTTGCTCTTCAACCATAATAGTTCATCAAATACCTGGGTCCGTAGATCCTCGGTTCCTAGTTTTGCTTGCAGGATCTGTAGAGTGGTTTGCTCGTGTTGGACGCTTAAGGAGTATGCTTCCATCAGAGAGAGAGCAATTGCAATGGCATGGTAGCTCGCTGCGGTCTGAAAAAAGAAATAACAGGCGTAAACAAATATTTTTGGCTGTCATTTTAGCTTTCCAGGCAAAAGTTACTGATCCAAAAGTAAGACTTCTTGACATGTGAATATTGCATGCAGTTAGGCAGAGAAACCAGCCTGGATATGATCAGCTCCAAGTAGTCTCTGGTTACATTTCAGCGCTTCATGAAGGTACCTCAGAGCCACGTGGACGTTTCCTAGACCTTCTTCCATCATTGCTACATTGATATAAGTGGCAGCTGTGTTTGGGTGTGATGGTCCACATGTAAGATGCAGAAGGTACAGTGCACGATTGACATACCTACAACAAGGAAAATATAATAAGCAAAACAAAAGTATTAACCATAGTCTTAGAATTCAGTAAATGCAGAAGCATACTTCAAGGCTAACTCTGTGTGCTGAAGACGGTAATAGAAGACTGCCAGGTCACCGTAGCTTTTCATCGTGTCTGGGTGATCAAGTCCGAGCTCCCTTTCATTTATATCAAGTGCTTTCTGCTGATAAATCGTTGCCTGAGAAATCAAACTAGTCAGTGTACTAGAGAGATTAAATACAAAGACAACACTGTATTGAATGATAGCTTTGAGATTTTATAGCAAATACCTGGTTAAAGTCCCCGGTATGATACAACACGACAGCGAGAAGACTATATGCTCCAGCAGTCATTCTATGATAAGGGCCACAAACAGCCACAAGCTTTGCCAATGCCTACAGAGTTCATTCCACATATCAACTCGCTCAAACCATCTTCATCGGAAATGAATGCATTTGTGTAACAACAGTGGAAGATATAAAATATTAGGATGACGGTTTGATAATCATTGGGAGCAAACAAGTTCTTGAACCACAAAAGAAAGCCACACTAGCAACCAAATGTTTGATATTTACATGGCAGAGTCCTTAAGAAAATGGCTAGTGCAAGGTAATAAAGTATGTAAATTATGAAAGAATAGAGATTATTGATCACATTACAGCAATCAGTTAACAGTTGTTTCTAATTTGATCCAGGAAAAAGGTCAAAAGATTGGAGATGAGAGGCATAAGGAGTGCAAACTGAAATAAATTATTTGATTTCAGAAAGAAGTGAAACTTATCCATGTAAATGAATTGGGAAAATGCCCGACACACAGGTTAGCAGAAAAAAAAACAGTGACAAAGAAGAGAATGGAAAAAGAAATCAGTCATACCTTAGTGCCGTAATTGACAGCATCCTCCAGCTTGCCTTTATCTAAGGAAGTTTTGGAGGACTCCAACAAAGTACGTCCATCAGCAGAGGAACACGCGACATGCTGCAGACAATAAATTCTATGAAGTCGTTGAAGAATTTCAAAAACTTCCATCTGATTCCCAGACTTACACATATTACCTTATACACAGGAATCATACTGATAATATCTGACTTTTTGAAAGGATTTGAGGTGTCCATCTCGTAGTCTTTTGGAACAAGCTCCATTCCAACCTGAACAAAAGAAGAAGACTCTTATCAGAATCTCCAATTCGATTATATAGTTGAAAAGGAAGCTGATGTACAGACCTTGTGTGACAGCCCTCTAAGAATGGCGAATTTTCTCAAATCCCGGCAGCTTTCGTTATTCCACTCCCACGCAAACCTCTTTGAAATGAAAGTTTGCACCCACTTCCACTTTAACTTGTCATCATATTCAGTTTCAAGATCCAACGGTGTACCCAACAGGACATTTAAGCATGAAGCTATTGAAGCGGCCAAATCAGCAATGTTATCGACAGCAGCTACAACAGCCTGAAGTATATGCTTATATGCCCGAACTACCATTTCATGAATACAGAGAGATTGCACATGAGGGAGTTTTTCAGCCAGCTCAACCTGAATGACGGGAGAAAACACACGTATTGAAACATGATATACACTGTATTTTGCAGTACATTGACATACTCAGTCTTCCGATTTGAGAAAAGGGTACCAAAGAGTACAAAAAGCAATAATTACCACTTTTCCCAAGGAATGCATTTGCAAACCTCTGGTGTGCATAAAATCAGTCAGAGTTCTACCATCCACTGGTGAGAGTTCAAGAGATCCAAAATCAGCCACCTGCACAGTATCAAGTTTCAAGTGGTCTGATACAAGACATATTCATGCATGACATCTTTTTCTGTGTGTGTTTTAATCCGATGACTAATAAAAGGGGTGGAACACATCGGAACGATGGGTTCTCATGATGAGATTTGGAGAAGAATAATGGGGTCAGAGCAAGTGCCCGAACAAATAAGGAGACTCTGGGAACAGGTTGAAGAGAGAGGATGAATGGTCATCTATAAGTCACCATCTGCTTTCCAAGAGATTGATAGGCTCCAAAGGATGATACAACGTCTCATTCTCAGCCAATAACCTTCTAAATCAAGCTCCGACAAAGACTCAACAGAGTATATATGTGACAGTCTAGGATACTGTAGGAGGGTGAGGAGTGATCGTCGGGAAGAGCAGTGTCGGCATAGTATTTGTGGGCCAGTTCTGTCAGCTCATCAGGTGACTGCAATCCAGTTTCATAGAAAGGAGAAACACAGGGTGAGCTTCAGAAAAAAAAGATACCAGACCTTACAAGTCAACTTCTCAGAATATACAAGGACATAGTATCTGTTCAGCTAAAGAGCATACAAACCTTGAGATGGAAACCAGTTTCTGATTCTTTAATGCGCAAATAAGCAGCTTCTGTCACCAGTTGTTTCCACAACTTTTCCATCTCCTCATTTTGCTTCTCAAGTTCTTTCCGATCCACAACTTCTGACTTGTTGGTGTCAAGCGTACTAGCAGGAGCCTCCTTGCCCTGTTCAGTTTTGCAGCTTTTCACATCAATTTTCTTCTTTATCTCCTTCAGCAGTGCGCTCTGTTTTCCAAGACCCTTTACTGGTGGTTCAGGCTTAGCATCTTCAGTTTTCTTAGAGTCATTTTTACTTGAAGCTTGATTTTGCAGGTGTTGCACCCAACAAGCTCCTAGTTCCCACCTTATAGGCTTGACGTTTTTCGAGGATTCACCTTCTAATTTCTGTAGACTATCCTCTAATAACTTCCGCACAAGGGACCTAGCTGCACGCATCTGTTCAGACTCTGCATTTTGCGATCTCTGAGCAACACAAGAGGATTGAGGAGTCGAAGATTTGTGCAGTAGCACTCTCAAGCTGAAAAGGAAATTCCGAACCAACTTGCTTAATCACTTCTACCCATGCCGAAATGGCAGTTGAAATCTTTAGATCACACAGGAAACAGGGGATCCAAAACAATAGGCAGCAGTGCAGAAACACGAAGCAGACTTTACATATCCTATGTTGCTTAGGAGCTTGTCGGCAAGCAATAAGTAACCAATAAGTCTGACAAGGAAACCACCAAGACCACATATAAACAAATAAAATTTACCTATTTACATTCAATGCATTTGCACCTCCTTCTGGTTGATCTCCGATGTCAAGGTCCTGTGGTATTGGGCCACCATCCCAGTTCAGTTCAGCAGAAACCTTCACAATGGCTGTATGGCCACAATGTCTGACAACCACAACCCCCAAGGTAGACGTATCCTGCATGATCAGAATTATAACTTAGCAACAAATCCAACCTGGGTAAAATAAATAAAGCAGTTAGAGCTAACGAACAAACATGAACTGTTGCACTCTCATCAGCAGTGATCCCTTTAAGCAAATTCCTTCGAGCAAGCTCTTCCAGGGACATCTCAAGAACCTGAGTCCCGTCATTCTTTCGGTCCACCTTTGCACTAGCATCGGGAATATCTCTTGTCACCCTTATGATTAAATCACCCACTTTTTCTTCATGAAAACTTGATGCTGCTGAATCCTTCAAGTGCTGATTACTCTCGACTATGTTATTGATTGCTGCCACTGCTTTAAAAACTGAAACGTCGACAAATAGACTGTGCAGTAGGAATGCCTTTCTGTCTCGGACCTGTCTCTCTTCCGCTGTTTTACAAGGCATTGCTGCCAAAATCGCAAACTCCCTTGCCCACTCTCTGCCATCAAACTTACCATCCCATCCCATCCCTCCGCCATTCCCTCCCCAGGTTTCATCTTCCACTGGAAGTGACGGAAAAGCAGTCGGGTTATCAGCAACAACCGGAGGAACAACCCAAGTGTTTGCCCGAAAACCATACGGAAGGTTGCCAAACTGAAATAGAATAAGACTTATTATACATTGTTCTCTCTAATTGACAATAGGTATCCGTGAATCCACTTAACATATGGAAGTTTATCTGCGTACTTTATTGTGCTCAGTGAAAGCTTTCATCAGAGCTTCATAAGCCTGCGCATAAGAACAACAATTTACAAGCCATCAGAGAGGCAGAGCTAGCAAACAAGAACCCAGAAGATTTTAGCATTACATAAACAGACACCAAACTCACTGCATCAAAGGGCCTGCTTATCTGCTGCAGCAAATCAACCAAAGAGTGACTCAGAAATTGTTGTTTCCCTGCAGGGTAAAAACCTTTCCTTGAGGCCACAACCGCGATGGGCTTCCCACTCGAAACTTTAACCTGTATTTGGTTACTATAGTGTTAATTACAATCACAAATGTTCCAAATCGGAAAATGAGAACAAGTTAGGAGGACTCGTACATCGATTTGAAAGAAGTCTTCTAGGTTTTTATCCTCGACAGATGGACGAACTGACCTTCGGATATCTGGAGAATTGGAAATCGGGAATCAGACACGACACACGACATAATGAATTCACGAGTAATGCAACGAAACTCACATTGGATAGGAGGGGTGAGGTGGGAGAAGGAGAAGAAATCGTAGAACTGGCCGAGACGAGGAGGAGGGCACATGGATACGTCACCCTTGTCCGCGCCTTCCGCCGCCTGCCCGCCGGAGAAGGCATTCTTGTCGGCGGCCGCCGGGGCATCTCCGTCGATCGAACTCGATTCTTTCTGGCCGGAGGAACGAATAGCCGTCGTTTTGGACGAACCGAAGGCGGTGGTGCAGGCGACGATGTCGAGGAGCCGCCGTACGTGCGCGGTGGACTGATCTTCCGTATAGTCCTCTGGGTAATAATCTTGCGTGGGTAAGGCTACAGAATAGAACAGAAAATCAGAAATATAAACCGTTAGATCTGGGGCGGCATACCATCGACGATGGTGAGGTGGCAGGGCTTGAGCGAGACGATGTCAACGGAATCCTTGAGTCTAGGGCCACGCACCTGCAGCGAATCATTGTCTCGTTGGGCGGCAAAATCAAGCAATTTGGGCCTAAAGTACGCGTAGTGGGCCCATATTTTAAAACTTTGAATGTCTTTATCTGGGGAATATAGGCCCATTTCTGAAGAAATGTATTCAAGATCAACTGAACGCAGAAATATATATTGCCAACACTGATGAAGTCCTTCTGATACGAAGAAACAGTGTAGTGTAGGTATATATACCTCATGGGAGAGAGAGTAGTTGGTCAAGTGGCATGTCTGGAAATGGACCGCTAGTAGCTTTCTCACATCTAAGATCCTGTCCGTGGAAATACCCTTCACAAAATCAAACAAATGTCACTTCCGAACGATATATGCAATGCCACATATCAACATGTAGGAGAATATCGGCCGAGATTGATCGAACACCAAAGTTGAGTTGCGTAGGGCTGATGTTCCTTTATATCCATATATGGTTTATAAGATGATGAGTATGTGTTGGGAAACAAACCTTGAGGGTCACTTGAGAATCGTCGGGTGTTTCGACGGTGATCTCAATGACAGCCGGCAAAACTGCACAATTTACATTTGTGATATTAATCAGCATCATGTTTTCACCGCTAAATTCTGACTTGTCAGGACGAGTCGGATAACAGAAACATTCAGAAGCTCATATCCACAAAAGGAAGCATATATGTTAATCCATGAACCTTTCTCTTCCCTCTTCTTCTTCTCTCCCTTGGCCTTGTGCAATTTTCCCTTGCTTGTCTTCGGAGCCATTGATTATCTCGATACTAGATTACACAAAGACCTGATTTTTCACCGTAATACGGCCTAAAATTTCTGAACAACAAAAACCCGGATTGAATTCCATCCAACCCAGGCGATATATAACAAACAACAGTCAAACGATGTGTAAGACGAAGAGAGAGGGAAGAAGGGTGACAATGGGAGGGAGTGTGAGAGAGAGGATGTGTGATAATAGGGAGGAAATATAAGATAGATAGAGATGGAGAGGATAGGATAAGGTGAGGGGGGAGAAGGGTATCACTTTGTACACAAGTGAAACCCAACCAAAACACAATAGAGGGTTTAAAGGCTAAGCGAAATTGAGGCCTCTCGTTTCTTTTGGCCTTCCTGTTTGTATCCCCATGACGCCTCATCTTCTTCTTCTTCTTCTTTTCCTCTCCCCCCCCCCCCACCAATTTTATTTTGTTTTATTTAGCTCTCTTTAGTTAGTCCATTGGCGGATGATCCGTATTAATTTCTGCTTAGTTTACATATTTTTAACTATTTTTATGCCTTTTTTCGCCAAATTGTGCAGAATTATTCAAATAGTCCGATTAAATCAAATCGTTGTTTTATTGAGGGCATTTCACTAACTTCATATAACTTGGATTTATAAAGAGACAAAGGAGTTTAAGAAGTTAATAACTACCAACATGTGCATAATGAATGCTGTCAAAGCTGCATAACAAAGACTCTCTCTAACCAATTGACAAATCGAACCGCCTTGTCTTTCCGGTTTAGATAAGCCGGTCCAAACCGGTAGGCATCCTGAAGTATATGCTTATATGCCCGAACCAATTGTCTGAATAAAATAAGATTAACTCGTGTAATCTCTTGCAAAACCTAAACTCTTTTAACCTTTATCAATTGGGAGACACATAAGTAACAAAACAAACTTTCAACCGACAAATAAATCCTAAACCTTTTAGGACTCAAAAAAACTTATATATATATATATATATAGAGAGAATACAAGATCCATCGTCTGAATAATTCTAAACCTTTTAGAACTCAAAAAACTTATGTATATATGATATACACAACACAACATCCAGCTTTTGAAGAGAAGTGAAAAAAGTTATAATAGTTGCATATCTAATCTCCGCAGGCAAGTCTTCCTTCTAGCGTCTTAGATTTTTACAGATTTTAATTATTTCGTTAGAGGGAAACTACGTGCGATTCATTCTTGTTCTTCTATTTTCTCTCCATGGTTGTTTCGAAAACCTAATGCGTTAACTTGATTATTTCTGATACAAGACATATTCATGCATGACATCTTTTTCTGTGTGTGTTTTAATCCGATGACTAATAAAAGGGGTGGAACACATCGGAACGATGGGTTCTCATGATGAGATTTGGAGAAGAATAATGGGGTCAGAGCAAGTGCCCGAACAAATAAGGAGACTCTGGGAACAGGTTGAAGAGAGAGGATGAATGGTCATCTATAAGTCACCATCTGCTTTCCAAGAGATTGATAGGCTCCAAAGGATGATACAACGTCTCATTCTCAGCCAATAACCTTCTAAATCAAGCTCCGACAAAGACTCAACAGAGTATATATGTGACAGTCTAGGATACTGTAGGAGGGTGAGGAGTGATCGTCGGTGCAAGAGGTACGGACAAGGAGCGGCTTCTGACGAAGTTCTGGGTAGGGATACAGGGATTAATCAAACGCACCGGAATGAGATGGATTCGAGGGCTGTGTAGGTATGAGAATATACAGTCAAAGATAACTTAAAAAGAATTGATTGAGCTACTCATAACAACAAGATGCATCTACCTTTTCGGTTGCTCATCTCGAGAGAACTCCAAAGTTGTGTGTTCGCTTTGGAGTAGTTTTAGGATGGGTGACCTCCTGGAAAGTAGTTTCCGAGATGTGTGCGAATGAGGACAAAACACGCTAAAAGATCTCGTGTTGGTGTGTGAGGGCAACTTTGATATTCCGTAGCAACCTCGGGTTGTTACAATATATGTATAATAAACAATGTATGATATATAATTTGTGTACGTATATTTAACAGAGAAAACTCTTAATTAGTGAATGTAGAGGAAGAACTATACAGTAGCAGGACACCGGTGTGACTTGTGCGAACGAGAACTGGCGATAGATCCAGAGCATCCAAATGCGGTATTGAGGGAGCTATCCGAGACATGCGTGCTGGGTTGGGTCACGTTTACCACTCCAAAGTGTTTGAGAAGTACCACTCTTGATATGACCATCACTCCTTCGATCCTTCCTGCATTTTCTGCCTTACCTCCTCCACCTGACTCTTATTCCCATTTGCGACTCCTATCCTATTTCTATCTGGTTTTGATTTTCTATATTTCTATTGTCAACCTTTATACCGACAAACGCAGTCGATATAAACCCTTCATCTATTGATCCAGCGTGGATCAAGTTTCTTTTCATCTCGTTACTTCTCCGAAAAGAAAGAGTTTTGTAACGACCCGTGACCGCTACGAATTGTCGAAACTGCCCCCACACAGCAACCCGAGACCTTTCAGCGTGTTTTGTCCTCACTCGCACGCATACTGAGACACTTCCCAGTAGGTCACCCATCCTGAGATTGCTCCAGAGTCAGCACGCTTAACTTTGGAGTTCTCTCGGGATAGTCAACCAAAAAGGTAGGTGCACCTTGTTACTATGAGTAGCTCAACTAATTCTTTTATGTTATCTTAGACCGTATAGTCCCATACCTATACAGCCCTCGGATCTCTCTCATTCCGGTGTGTTCGATTCATCCCTGTACCCCCTACCCAGAAGCTCGTCAGGAGCCGCCCCTTGTCCGTGCCTCTGCACCGGCGATCACTCCCCGCCCTCCTATGGTACTCTGGGTTGTCACAGGCCCACCAGCTTCCGCCTGGTTCGTCCTCGAACCACACCGTACTGGGAGAGTACCGGCTCTGATACCATCTGTAACGACCCGTGACCGCTACGAATTGTCGAAACTGCCCCCACACAGCAACCCGAGACCTTTCAGCGTGTTTTGTCCTCACTCGCACGCATACTGAGACACTTCCCAGTAGGTCACCCATCCTGAGATTGCTCCAGAGTCAGCACGCTTAACTTTGGAGTTCTCTCGGGATAGTCAACCAAAAAGGTAGGTGCACCTTGTTACTATGAGTAGCTCAACTAATTCTTTTATGTTATCTTAGACCGTATAGTCCCATACCTATACAGCCCTCGGATCTCTCTCATTCCGGTGTGTTCGATTCATCCCTGTACCCCCTACCCAGAAGCTCGTCAGGAGCCGCCCCTTGTCCGTGCCTCTGCACCGGCGATCACTCCCCGCCCTCCTATGGTACTCTGGGTTGTCACAGTTTGGTCTTGATCCCAAATTGGGCATAACCCCATCCAAATCCACATGATTTGTTGGATTGTATTAACCTTAACCAATAAAACCAAACTAAAATTTAAATGAGTTTGGTTAATATATGAATCTAATTAAATCCAACAAACTCGATTAGTCAATTAAATTACAAATAATTCATTAGCAATAGATGTTAATAATATTTTACAAAAAAATCAATTAAATTTAAATAATATTAAGAAAAATAAATCACAAATATTAAAATAAAACAAATCCATATTTTTCAACTTACTTATCTTCTATAATTTAAATTACGTAAAATTGTAAATATTCAAATAAATTGTTGGTATTTGTCAAAACTTATTAAATCCTAACCAATTATAAAATTTTGTTTACTCAAATAATTTGACTACATTTTTTATTCCAATTCATTTCAATATGGACCAATTCATTCTGGTTCAAACTCGATTCGTTTTGATTAACATAAATTCTTTCGAACCAATTCAATAATTTCGTTTCAAATTCGATTCGAATCAATTTGGGTCCATTCATTATAATTCAAATTCGACCCATTTCGATTCGCATTGATTCGAATTCGTCTTTTTATTAAAAAAATTCTCATTTTTTTAAAAATTTTCAGGATTTTACATAGTTTATATTTAATTCAGATATGATTTTTTATTTTTGAATAGGTCTTATACATTCAATGTTATATTGAATTTTGTTACATGTTATTCAGTCTGAATAATTCGATTTTGATTATTTTAATAGAATGAGAAAAAAATATCTAATAAATATTTCTAATCAATAGATTTACACATTTAACCCATATTAAATAACCGAAATATAATTTCTATTATCCAATGTCATCAACTTAACCTTGCATCACTAGTATCCGTAATCTTTTTACATACTCATAAATGGCTATGCGGATGAATATGGTCAACTTCTCAAGTGCTGATTTACATTCATGAATTTTTATGTATGTTATCGAAACAACGACATTCCCTACTAGAAATAGTTATACATCCGACCTCAGTCGGCCTATACAAACCAAACGAAATGAATCAATATGAAAGCACAAACACCGGATGCCACGCGAATGAAGCCGGACGTGATAGCTTGGACCCAACCGCGTTTTATCTAGAATACTCTTAATCGAACTGCCAAACACGCCTTTCAAACCCTGCAGCCAAACAGGGCCTTACTGGATTACAAGCTTTGGATTCTCTCTCTATTCTCCACTGCGGAGAAAGGCACAAATCGAAAGATTACCTTAAATTCGGAGCGCGATTATCGATTCGAGCGGTCAGTTTTCTTCCTTCGTTGATCAAACTAAGACATTTTATCTGTGTGTTGGTTGTTCTCCTGGAATTTCTGAATTTTCTCCCGCTATATTTGAATCCTCGGGAATAGTTTGACGATTTACGCATGATTATCCAAGAGCGAACCGGATTGTAGGGGAACTAGATCGTTTGCTTCTTCCTTTTGTTTTTTTCATTATTTGCCACGAAATGATAATATCGTTCTTGATGATTGATTCTCCCCGGCAACTATAGTCAGTTTCCCTTTTTGCAGTTCGGGAACAGATCTTGATCGGGGATACCTGGGCATTGGAAGAAGAGGAATTGATCACCCTTGTCTAAGATGGTATGTAGTATTGTACTATTGTTGGGGTAGGTTTGATCTTCACAGAACATTCTTTGCTTATTTAGCTGGAAAAGAGTACGAGCGCTGAATTTGAAATTCAAGCTTTATAAGCTCATTCGAATGGTAATTAACCTATGCAAGCATTGTGTAAATGGAAAATAACCCAGAAGATATAAACGGTTCCTGTTTGTTTTCTTAGTTTGAATGATCCCATTACTCATATTGCAATAGTAGGATTGCATTGACTGACTAGTTTAATCTTGTGAGCAGGCCATGTATATACGTGTAAAGCGTATGAAGACAACATATTTTATCCAATGCGACCCAACTGAAACTATCCTGGATATCAAGCAGAAACTGTTTCCACTCATTGAACAGCCAGTTAGCAATCAGCGTCTCATCTTATTCTCTACCAAAGAAGTATTAGAGGATTCCAAATCTTTAGCCGAGCAGAAGGTACGAATTGTTCAATCGTATCATACCTTTTTTTGTTTCTCCTTTCCACCCAGTGTTGGACAATGGTCAACCACTGATGTCTATGTTTAAAGCAGAATTGTATGGTAATAAAGGGACAAGGATGATGTCCAAGTTATTGGAGATGTTTAAATATATCAGTTGGATTCTGTCTAAAATTGTTGCTCTTATCATTTCAGGTTGAGAATGACGCAGTTGTGGCACTGACACTGAGGAAAGGTTATCTCTCAAAGCCCTTTGTTCTTTTTTCAGTTTTGGAATGTGGAATCATTGATACGATGTAGATGTACTTTTGCCATTTCATGGTTAACTAATTATAACAATTCATCTGTTTCTCACTTATTTGTATTGTGCGTAATAACAGCGTGGCGGTCTTAAAACTTTTGTGACTGATAACAGTTGAATATGATGCCCATTATTTCAGATAGCTTCCAGATTGTGAATCTGTTGAGTATGTAATAATGTATGTATATATCGTATACTGCATATCAGATTTGTGGAGCTTAGAATGCGTCTTATGTTGTCCCTCATTGCCACTTTTCAGATGATGATGATGAGTTTGAAGATGTCAACATTGCAGAGCCCAGCGATTTTTCAATCTCATGATGAATTAACCCGCTTTGGAAGCCTGGGACTTTGCAAAAGGCTTCTGGTTGTTGTGTTTGTTTGCGCTGAACAAAAAAATAATCGATGTAAACGAAACATGGCCATGCCCATGAATATGGATGCGAGATTATCCATTATGTGGATTTTATGAATCCTTGGTTGGTGTCTTTCTTTTTGCTCTTAGTTACAAAACTGTAGTATGATTCTGTGCTTAATCCTGACCCTTGTAATTTTTTTTTTTGGTTATACACCAAACCAAAAGCCAGAAGCCAGAAGCCATTAGTATACTGGAGCAAAATCCCAGAGAAAGATACGGAGATCATACAGTCTTGTCTTCTTCGTAGCCGCCACAGCTTATGGAGGAACGCCTCCTCCTTCGGCCTACATATTGAGAGGATTTGTCTTCCATATCGTCGAGTATTATATGAATACACGAGCCTTTTGTTTTCCAGAGCGAGAGAAGAAGAGTCAAGACCATCTTTGCGGTGAAAGGATCGAGTTCTCAGAGTTAGGGTTTCATATGTTCATTTTTCCTTCTTTGTGCGAGTGTTGTAATTTCTCTAGTTTTTGGAGCGATTGTTTCAACTCTTCTCAGCAATATATTCTTCCTTTTGCCGAGCCGTAGGAGCATTAGGCTCGCATCTGAACTGTGTCAATCTCTTTCTCTTTTCTGTTCATCCGATTCTGGTTCGTTTTCGGTGGGCACAACACCATGGAGCATACCGGCCAGACTACTACAATTATTATACAAAAAATTGTCAGCTCAATACTTCCTATTGTATAAACATTTAGTTAATTATAATGAATAACATTTTGGGAATCGCATATAATATGGAATGTACATATTAGATGCATGTAAAAAATTAATAGAAAACAGAGACCTAAAATGGGTAGCTCAATCCGGATTCTAATCAAAAGGATATTCATATTGACTTTTCTAATTCTTGGAAAAAAATAATAATAAAAAGTTGACACTAGGTAATAAGCATAGCAAGGACAGCCGTAATTTGTGCTGAAATAGGGACGCAGGGCCTGACACACGTCATCACCCCCCACCACC